CAACATTACTTTATTATTACTACTTTATTAATGTTGCCTATTTCTTTATTATTTTACCTATTACTTGCACTAAAGGGATGATACTTTATTAAGATTTTATTTTTGAAAGATTATGTTAGGTTCTTTTAGTCATTTGTCTGGTATACTTTCAATTGAGAATAATTCATCAGACCATTCTTGACATTTGGATTAGAGCATTGTTGATGTTTGCTTTCTTCATCTCTAGGCTTTTTAAGAAATGTCATTTTTGAAAATTTAAGCACTATGTTGAATACAGTTACATATTATAATTGTACTTACCATCTTTAATTTTCTTATATGTGAAAAGAATATTCCCAAGAGTATTTCTGAAAACAGTCCAAATGTCCAAAAATTATACACATAATAAAAAAATACTACAGGCATTGGAAATAATATATATGACATATCTAGCTTATATGTTATATATAAGGAGCATAATATACTTCATACTGTGAAGTATCTTAGAATGAATCAAGGATCTGTGCTCACTTCAGCAGCACATATACTAAAATTGGAATGATACAGAAAAGATTACCATGGCCCCTGCATAACGATGACACACAAATTCATGAAGCATTCCTTATGTAAAAAAAAAATTAATCAAGGATCTACATGAAAAAAATTCTTAGAAGAAAACACAGGTATAATGCTTCAGAATTTAGTAGGCGGAAAATTTATTTATTTTATTTAGTTGGGCCTTTGGGCCTTGTGTTAATTGTGTTTGAAATGAGCATTCTCCTAAGTTGTACAGCACTGGTCTGTGAGTTTGCTGTACTGAGGAAACTTGGGATTGCTGTGTTACTAAATGCTGTGCCACTGGTGTGTCACATGTCACAATGATTCCACATGGTGGACAGTGTTTGGTGGAGCTCCCATGCTAAGGTAGGCTCGGAAGAGGAGTGGTATCCAGTTTCTAATCAACATGCCTCTGGAAACTCTATGAACTTAGAGAAATGACAATATTATAGAACAGGATTAAGTCTTTTATTCATAGGGTCGCTATGGTTCATTCTTGACTTCGCGGAACTTAACGACAACAATATATATACACACACAAACTGTATTACTGTCTTTGAAAGATACAATCATCACACTGTTGACTGAAAAGAAAACATGGTATATTGTTGTTGTTATGTGCCGTCGAGTGGCCTGCGACTCATAGCGACCCTATGTATAACAGCCCTAAACTCCACTCTGTCCTGTGCCAATCGCACTGTCTCTGACACTCCCATCCCAATTATCCCAGTCACTGAATCAGTCCACATTATAGAGGGC